AATAAACTGAAAAAAGCTCTACTAGTTTCGAACCACAGAGGGGTTCTCCTCATCCCAGTTCCTACATCTCAGTTATTCAGTATCAAGGTCAGTGTTTTTATCCAAACACAAAAATAAAGAGGAGATGAATAATACACTAATAAACTCTCATTAAAATATACTCGATCCCAATCTAATTACAGAAAAGCTCCAGAGAAATAAAGATATTCACACAATAACCCCAGTATCGAAATTATCAGAGAACCAATCAATGTGTTCGAACCTCGTGTCGGTTAATTCAATTACACAAAACACTAATTTTCCCCTAAGATAATAACATTTCATAATGCTCCAGCTCGCATGGTTCAAATGAACCTAATAACGCTGTTAATATATCATTAATAAACCCATTGATCGGTACAGGCTATTCACTGGAATGGCTAAGGAAATCATGGTTCAGCCTGTAATGGATCATGATTTTAGTCAGTTTTCGAATTGAATTTACCCTTTAGTTCATGAGAATGGATTTTGTAATATAACGGTTATTAGAAATTGGCATGCAAAAAAGTATTTAGCCTTTAGGTTCAGGGTTAGGTTAGACTTAAAGTAAATTAGATAGATAATTTCATGAACAATATTTTACCATTTTTTTTAAGGGGGGAAAATCATCATATACCTGCTCCCGCCTGGGTGAGGCGTAAGACAGTGTCAGAATCTTACTGACTAAAAACCACCCCGTTCCTTCTCCTGCACGTCGAGCCGGAGCTCCGGTTACCCGTTAGGTTCTTCGCGACTCCGAATCGGCATCGTCCCTGTCGGGCCCCATCTGTGGTGGTCTGATGGCTCTTTGAGGCGCGCGTGGAACGCGATATTTTAACATAGTGGTCGATTTTAAATTTTAATATTTTGTACCACTTGCTACAGATCTGCTACGAGATTGCTACGGCGTAGTAATTTCGTAGCTGTGTAGCCAAGTTATATCTAATTTATGAAAATTGATTTCAAATTCAAAGATTTCAAACTAATACTAACACAAAGTTATATTAAACACAATTTACATGAAAAAACTCATCCTCCAACTCTGGTTTCTAACAAGAAAAGTAGAGAAACACACAGAATCATGTGACCGCAGCACCTGTCCCAAACTATGGGTAAGCCACAAAGGTACAAGGGTCCGATTTACCAACACCGAACTCCGCCAAAACAATCCATACATTAAGGAGTCAAGTGGCGTGTGTTTAAAGGAGTGGCCGTCACGCCGGGTCGCAGACTTATTGCTACGAGTTAGCTACGATTTCTGAACTAACAATTCACGCCAAGTTTCGGGGTTTTGGGATAAAGTAGAAGAGGTTTGTTTCTTATTTCTTGTTTTCTGAGAATGGGTAAAATAAATGTTAAGCGATATTTAGTTCTTTATTTATCTCTTTACGAAGTGTTAATTTAGCCTTTACGAAGTGTTAATTTGCTTGCCATTTTTTTGTAAAATCAATCAATTAGTTTCCTATGAAATCATAAATATGAATAACTAAATTAATTTAAATTTAAAGATTTCGTTGGCCGAGTGGTCGTAAGTGCGATTCCCGGGTGGGGCAAAATATTACTGGGTTTTTATAATTAATATTCTCAGTAGTAGCATGGAGTCTGGATTGTGCCCGGTATATGGCAATAGGCTCACCCCCTATTACATGGGACTGCATTAATAGTGAAAAGTGAGTGTTATATTGTACAGTGGTATAATGTGCACCTCTGCCTACCCCTTCGGGAATAGAAGGCGTGATGTTATGTTATGTAAATTAAATTAATTATTGACTTTTTATTATTCCTTGCAAAAGTTTTCACGAATAAATTGTTATTTGAAAACTTTATTTACGTAATAAAGTGCTTTCAAATTTTATTACTAGTTCATAGTCACTTCACCTGTTAGATCTGTGAATTTTTGTAACGAATAAATATAAAAAAAACAGCACCGTATTTTGATTAATATATTTTGATTATTTGCCATAACAGTCATTGCACCTGTATTTGTGTTAATTTTTAACATACATACATAAATGTATAACCTCGATTCTTACGTACCTCTTTCGCTTCATCAGCAGTCATCAGTCCTTTTATGTATGCTAGTCGAAAGTACTTTTAATATGTCGTTAGCGACATATTGAAGACTAACATATATCGACCAGATTAGACTGGTCGATATATGCCTCTAGGGTACCCTCTACTCTCATTCGTATCCGCTCTATATACTTCTTTCATAAATCAGCTTTCATCCTTCTTTTCTTCATACACCCTAGATTATTTTATTGCTTTATTAACACCTTTGTTCTTCTTAATCATTGATTGCATTTATTGCTTAAAAAATCATTCCCGACAAACAAATCTCCAGAATCTTTTTACTTGAGACAACCCAAAACACTACCGTAACGTCGGAAATACGACGAACACTAGGTTTTATTTGGCGACGCGTATTACTAGTCCTCACCTATGTGCCATGTACGACGCCATATATTCTTGATACTTGAGCTACCTACACTCAAGTAGACGCACTTGGTCCTTTGTGTATTGTAGACTTATTTCGCAGAAGTAGGCGTCTGAATGATGATATGAGTTGAATATCAATGATTGTATCGATATTGAGAATATATTGGTGTAGATTGTAGATTAAAGAAAATTGCCTAGGTTTGTCAAAATTGTGACCTCTATATGTCTCGGGTTATATTCTTGTGTCGTGTGCCAAATTACTAGTGAGTGTAGTCAGTGTTGTCGCATTGCAGGTTGAAGAATGAGGAGAGCTGTCATGTTTAAAAGTGGCGAATGCAACCATATTATTGATGAAACACTTAGATATTGAAATTAAGACACACTTTGATATTACGATATTTAAATTAAGTAAGTAAGTAAATACAACTACATACTTACTACAATAAGCTATTATTCCATAAAGTGTACGATGCAGGTAATATGTATATTTCTATTGATATTTCAGAAAGCATGTTTTATTTTTAGGATAAGCCGGTAAACGAGAAGACGGATCACTTGATGATAAGCAATCGGCGTCGCCCATGGAACACCTGGAACACCAGGGGTGTTACAAGTGCGTTAACGTCCTTTTAGTTATTACAAATTTAAGGATTGTTGGGGATTCAGGGATTGAGGACACGCAAGCGTTGTTTCACGTCGTTTTTCTATGAGGCCGTGGTATTGCTCCAGTCGAGCCGGCCCATACGTGCTGAAGCATGCTCTCCCACACTTATAATACTTTTCTTGATAATTGATGAGTTAAGAAAATTATTATTATTTTAACTACAACTACATCACAATAATAATCCAACAAACTATAAAATCCCATAACAAACAACGAGACAAAAACTTCTACACGAAAACTAAGCCAGGACCAATATACGTAATACAAGAACCGAACCATTTAGAAACACCAACACAATTATAACAGCTACGGAGATAACAAGAGAAATAATTAATGTTATAGCCGTTAATTTTGCACAACAACTATTCATCAAGTGCCCTGAGATAGTGGGGAATCTCACGTCCTACTAATAAACTTTGGTTACGACCGTGATCGATGTAAGGCTATTGTGATTGCGATTACTAATCGACAATATGTTTAGGTGTTGGCGTGAATTCAATGTGTATGTTATGGGTTTCGTAATTGATTAGTCGTTATCAGTGCCGTCTTTACCATAAGGGCACTCGGGGTCGTGCCTAGGGCCCCCATCCTCAGGGGGCCCCGAAGGATCAGATATACACCAGTTATACTGGTGTGTCAGCTATACGTTGCGTGTCAACCGGCTGCCGCGCAATTTGTAGCGGCTTCGATTGTTACTCGGAGTAAATCTTTGTGTGATCCACAAATTGTTGTTTCGTGTCTGGGCGTCCTGTGTATGGAAACTTGAATGTTTGTGTACAGGAGAGAATCCTAGAGTGGGGCAACATTAAAAAAACATTCCAAAAGGACCTCGAATTATTGTATGCATAAGAGCCCCACCTTAGTCTAAGACGGCCCTGATTTTTATTGGTTCTGGTACGGGTTGGTGTATAAGATGTCGGTTTGTTCAATTTTATGTTTAAGGATGGGTTAAAGTACGAACACTAATTTACAGGAAAATATCAACGAGATCAGGTTTCATTTGTATATTTCTTCTTAAATATTGAACGCAAATAAACTGCCTCATTGTCGAGTGTCGTCCCGACGCGGGAATCGAACCCGAGACTCTTTGCTCGGCAGTCTCACTTGCGACCACACCGTCAACGAGGCAGTTACTTAGAAACAAACATAACATCACTTATTATCAAACAATACCTTTATACAACGCACCCATAGCTCCTAGAAGAAAATATAACAATATTTGTGACGCAGACAAATTTGGGAACAACACCATATTGAATTTCAACGGAATATCAACATTCTGCTATGGTAGGGAAACACAATTGTGGTAGCAACACTTTACGACATCCTATACCTTGTGGAATATGGGATGAAGGATGTTTATAGATGAATAAATTTATGTATCGTGAACACAAGCCTTCCTAGGGAGATGAGAAACTATTTTGTTTCTAGAACTTTTTGTGTTCTAAGTAAATTGGGAATGGTACTTCTTGTCTGGAAATAGGCCTAGACTATAAATTGTGTATGACAGGAAAAAAATTCTTTTTTAGGACCAATTTGTGGTTTTATGTAAGGCTTTTAAGGCAGGCAAAGGAATTTTAATCATTTAGTTTTACTTAGCAGTAAATATGTAAAACACTGACAAACCATTGTAGTAGGCGAAAATTAGCTACGCGTCAAACATTGTATTGGTTAGGACACATTAACGAAAAAATTTCGAATCCAACATAAACCTTTGACTAATCTCTCTTTGAAAAAAGGAAGCAAAGCAATAAAAAATTCAAAAGTCTCATCTTCCATCCACAACCCGTCCATTTTTCCCCGTAAGCCTCATTTACTCGAATTAGCGACCTTTATCTCCGTACAAAAATACATCACAATTAAAATTTCAAACAAATACGCCCTTTGGCAACACAAAAATCCCTAAAAGTAACATGTAACAAAGCTAATAACTTGTCGTGGGTCTCGAAACATTAAATAAAGGTTCCATAATTATGAATGCCAATCTACTTCACAATTAGCCAAAGGGTTATTATATACCTTCGTATTTCTTACCTTGAACATTTGCAATTTAATTTAATTCTGTTTAACTTTCCGGCCATTATTTGAGTTTCAGGGGTTAATTTTAGTTATTATATTATCCATAATGCAAACCATACGTAAATAACAAGCTTTGGTTTCTATTTATTTTACATTGAAAGTTTGATCAGAAGCGCTGCATTGTTATGCGGAGAAAATTCATGCAAAGATTAATGAAAATGAAATAAAGAATTAACATGCGCACAGCTAACGAAGAAAATTGTCTAATTTGATTTGTTGGGGTAACAATGTTTTATTGACGTCATTTATTATAGAGGTAAGTCAATTTTATTGCTTCATTTGGTAAACATACTGAATTATCGGTTTAGTTTAACTAATTCATTAATTTTTAGACGTAGTATAGACTAGAGTTTAATATAAAAAAGAGGTTATGTCTATTTAATTTCGAAAAAGATTATTAGATATTTTACTAAAAAATAATCTTACTTTAACCTTTAAAACACACGGTTAATTCCTTCCTCAAGAAAATCAAGACAATATTCCACAAAATCACGAAAGAAAAGCCTTTACGTTTCTGGTCCTTTTTTCCTCAAACTTTTTTCTCTGTATAAATCATATTAATACAGTTATAAATAACGCGTTACATTGAAAAATAACTAGGTACACGTATTTTAAATCTATCTACACGGCATGACGCAAAAAGTATTGTAATATTCACGTAATTTGGATGATTCATGAGCCATTAGGTAGCGTTATTGAACTTTTTCGAAAAAAAGGTGAGGATCCCTTGCGAATGGAAGGACCAATATTAAGTCGTTGGTCTTTGGTCTTTTTTTAATAATGTTATAAGTTCTTTTTCTTATGACATGTGTGATTTGTTATGCAAGTATTCTTTGAGTGTTTGTGTGAATTATGAATTGTGGCAGAACTAGAAGTGAAAATCTTTCAAAATAAAATTTCAAGATATATTTTACCTAACATTAGCACACTGATTATGAAAAATATGTATGAAGTTTATCTTTTATTCAAAGAAAATTTTCTTTAGTTGATTGTGTGTGATTCTGGAAGAACGAACTTATATAAAATCATAAATCTATTAATACATTGAGAATTTCTCTAACAAAAAAAAGAACTTTATATTATAACCACGAGGGACAAAATATTAATTATTAGTGTTGTGAAAATTAATCCAAGTTAGAAATTGCTAGTAATCCTAAGAACAGAATTACATATAAATATGATGGCTTCTCCTTTATCTAGATCGGTATTTAGTGAAATTAACGACTACCAAAAGTAGATCCTTCCAATTTTACACGCCATTCTATCCTCTCATCTTTTGCCAATTAACAATAACATATCATAACATCACGCCTTTTATCCCCGAAGGGATAGGCACAGGTGCACATTATGCCACTGAACAATGTAACACCCACTTTTCACTATTTATACTATGAATCCCATGTAATAGGGGGTAAGTCTATTGCCATATACCGCGCACAATTCCAGACTCCGTGCTACTACTAAGAATTTTTGTCTGACTCGGGAATCGAACCCGAGACCCTTTGCCCGGCAGTGGCACTTGCGACCACTCGGCCAACGAGGCAGTCAATTAACAATATTGTCGTCAAAAGTCGTAGGACATTCAAAAATGTTATAACGAATCTAAACAACCTCCAACAAATAAAGTGCTTAGCAGAAAATAGTTTTAAATGTAAAATTTCGAATCAGATTGAGACTTAAGACTGACTTCCAATCTGGAAAAAGACCAAGATAAAAATTTGGTCCTATTCTACTTACGTATTAAATTCAAAAATCCAAATACCCAGTACTACATACCTGTCCACAACCTTTACCGTATAATATATCTTCAAATTATTCCGCATTTTCTACCTAAACATACATAGATAGATAAGTTATGAACGTAGGTACGAATTCCCGCCAATCTAGTGATGTCTTCAATCATTCCGGGATTTCGTCGCGACATCCCATTTCCGAATCCGTGACTCCCATATATACGTATCTATCTACTATTTTATATACAAGTACGTATTTTATATTACTAAGGTGTGACGTTCTATTTGCGCCTTTGATTTTATATTAATAGAAGTGATTTTTATTTTTGGTCCTTTGTGCCAAATTTTGTTTTCAAGAAGTCAGTTCTTGTTGAATGATAAGTGGGTTTGAAGGTTCAATAACATTCTTTTGAGTGTATTTTAAGACGTGTTCAGAGTTATAAGTATATAATTGATGAGTTTTCAACTGGCCAGTCATATAACAGGAATGTAATTATAATGGGTAATAACTGTAACTGAATTAAAACCTTGAAGAATCATAATACCAATTTAAAATTATAATTAAATAACAATGAAAATCACTGTCCATATAACTATTGCGAAAATTGCAATTACATCTCATCAACAGCCTATGAGTGGCTACTGCTGACCATAGGCCTCTTCTCACATGGAGACAGTTTGAGCATTCATCGCCACACTAGCTTAATGCGGGTTGGCGATTTAAAACTTATAATTAGAAATTATCAGCCTAGATTTCTTTACAATATTTACCTTCTCCGTTTGTCAGTGGGGTCTAAGCAATCTTAGAAAGTAAATATTACTCTTGAAAAGTCAAATTGGTACTAGCCGTTTGTAGGTTTGGAACCTGCGCCTTCATGCGCCCTCAAGCCTTAAACCTCTGTGTCACCATGGCATCGCAAAACAAAGACAAAATTTCATATAATTAATATCAATTAAGGTTAAGTAAAAACGCGGGTTACTCACGTGAATATACTGAGAAAAGCTCTCTCAGTGAGCTGCGCGACGTCGCCGCGACCGCGCACGCTGCTCATGAGGAAGAACCCCTCTGTGGTTCGAAACTAGTAGAGCTTTTCTCAGTATATTCACGTGAGTAACCCGCGTTTTTACTTAATTTAGTATGTCTCACGATAGTTATTATAAAAACATCAATTAAGGTTTTTAAAATTAAAATGTGATTGTTTATATTCGCAAGCCAATTTAAGCTTTAAACGTTACAACATCTGATACATTGTGGGCAATTATCAATTCGATATTCCCATGGCAATATGTAAATTGAAGACATGTCGTTACGAAATAATAAATACAATTTAAGAACACAAAAGAAGATTTGACATCTTTTATTGGCCGCCAGATATCAGCAATAAGAATGAATATTTATTTATTACCTTTACGGTAAATAAATATTATAAATTAACATAAATTTAAATGCAATATCCACTATACGCCGATAATAAATCAAGATCCTCGTCACTTATCAAGCATTATTTTTTTGGACATTCATGAAATATTGACAAATAAATCCATAAAGAATCTTATGGGTAGTGATCAGAGTGCACAGATGATTATTATTTGAGAAATTCTTAAATATTCCCTATAATTACTTTACGCCTGAAAAAGGCCATTAAGCTGTGCCTGTTATTTCATAAGACCTGTATGTATTACCTTACCATGCAAATAAAGACTTTGAGTTTGAGTTTAAAAAGAGCATGATCGTGTATGGAGCCAAAAACCTGCGCTAAACAAACAACACAGTATTTTTCGTTGACACAAATAAATGCAAAATTAAACTGTGGTACCGAAATATTAATGTGCATATCTAAGTCTAAAATTTCGCCATGTTGTCGGCTACCTTGTAAATATTCATGAATTAATATTTATTCGTTTAGGTGCACGTTAGCACACCGTATTTCGGCTTTTGTTGATAGGATTTATGTGTTTTTTGTGGGTACGTTTCTTAAATGTGTTTTCTGTTTTTAAATTAGAATAGACTCACACTGATTTTGATTTTAATAATATGTGTTTCAATATTTTGTTTGAAAATAGGAGTTAGAAAATAGAACTTTTTATCAGTACGTACTGTATGCCGCGTTCTGGACGCGGCGCTCAAAGAGCCGTCAGACTATCACGGATGGAGCCCAATAGGACTGATGCCTGATACGAAACCGAGGAAGGCCTAACGGGTTGCCGGCACACCGGCTCAAAGAGTAAGAGTAGGATCAAGGTGGTTTTTAGTCAGTAAGAGCCTAACACTCCCTCTTGGCTAACCCAAGGTGGGAGAAGTCATTGGATGATTTTTTTTTATCAAATGAATGTGACGTCACGCCTCTTACCATACTGCACTCAACAAGAGAACAGTTTGAAATGAAGTACCTACATGTACTTAGCCAGTTATAATGATGTGTGCGATACAATTGAGGTATCTGCTAAATGCCATTATCCGGCAGAAAGCTTCAAAACTTTGTACATTGTCATTTCATTTGAATGAACAAAATGTTATCACAATTTCCTTACACCTGTGACTAAACTCCGATCTCCACATTCACTAGCAGCAATCAGGGCAACATAGATATCAGATGATATATAACACGTAAAATATAATAGTATGTAAATCCTACCGGTCTATCGCCCGATACCCGTATATCAGCCCGGTGCAAAGCTATAAATTACACATTTTACAACCAACCTGCCAACTCCCGCTTTGAAAACGTGTAAAACTTTTACAGGTGGTAAAAATTCAAACTATACTCTTGGACATTCAAATTAATGTTTATTCTTGTATAGTACGTTTCTTGTTCGACGATATTTGAAATCCATTTAGAGACTTATGAGACCACATCTGCAGTCCATCTGTAGAATCATTAATTGTTGTTTGAATGGGTCTTAGCCGTATCACTCTTGATAGAGTGGTTTATTATGATGAGTCCGAATCAATTCTTGTATATATGTTGCTTGTTGAGGTCATATAAATGAAAGATGGTAATTGGTAAATAGTGCACTCGACAATTATGTGCGTTTCACGATCCCCATGACGTGCGTTCGTGATGGGAGTTTTGACATCAGTGTCGTGGCGAAGCGCACGACGGGCCTGGTTACCTCCCACTGATTTTGGCTGGTCTGATGCTTCTAATTGGTTAAATTGCGAGCTGATGTTGGTCGACATGTAGACGCTGCAGGTGTGTAAGCTGCCTGGTTCGGGCAATGACGCGCAGTGTTACTGCTTTTTGTGTATCTATAGTTATGATCATAGATAACCTCACTTAAATCGGTTAACCGGTATTGTCACTATCAGTTCTATTGCAATATTACAGGAACATGAGACAGAATCAAATTTTTATTTAGAACAGAACTTGAGAACTTTTTCTCCTAAAAAAACCTCACACGAGTTTGATGAAATTAAATAGTAATTAAAATATATTATACCTAAGTATAGATAAACGTAGTTACCTTAAACTAAATTTCAAATTAAACATCGATAATCAAATTATAATAAATTTATACTTAATTACACAAGGGTAAAGTTGAAAAATGGACAATTTTACGCGGACTGGAGTAACTTAAGTGCTACTTTTAAAATTATTTGTTCTTTAAAGATTTAACAACAAACCAGTTACAAAAGACCTCCTACGCGGCAACGAACTCAATATAAACATAGTTTTAAGAGAAAACTGATCATTATGAAACATCAAAAACTTTATGGTAACAGGAAAACTATTAGCGAATCTATAATAAATAATAGACTCTGTTAATAGGGAATATGATACTTTTCAGCGTGAACGCAGTACGGCCTTTGTTATGGTCAAGTTAGGAAACTTATTGTTAAAAGACAAAGGTAGAACTTTGTGTAATTCATTGTTCTTTTCTGTCTTATTTAAATCGATTAGAATTAAATAATTTATATTGAAGTTTCCACTAGGTGATGACTGCCTCGTTGGCCGAGTGGTCACAAGTAAGACTGCTGGTCAAGGGGTATCGGGTTCGGTGCCCAGGTCGGGAAAAATATTATTGATTTTTTAACAATTCTCAGTAAAAGCACGGACTCTGGAATTCTACAACGTATATGGCAATAGGCTCATTACATAAATAGTGAAAAGTCGGTGTTACATTGTACAGTGCCATTAAGTGCACCTTGCTTGCTAATGCACCTTGCTGCTCACCAAAGTCGTGATATTATGTTATAATTCCAGAATTCTGATCTAGCTGTCCTCCCACAATAAAAGTAACTAGATCCTGCTAGCTAGATAGATAGAAAATACACAAACTTAAAAAATGAATATACTATGTATACTAAAATAAATATTTATGTTGGTATATTATACATAGGCACACGAAAATAAATATTTCAAACTACCACAATAAAAAGTAAAAGTTAATATCATAGACTTTATGTAAGACCTATTTTGTAACATATTCTAAACACTAAAACAACAATGCAACATATGAGAACGCTTCCCACTCAACGAGTAACATCGCAATAAAGTAACTTGAGTAACTTTCATTGCGACAGGATATTAAGGCATTAAAAATGACGAGTTTTAAGCTTGGTCCTGGCACGAAACTTATTTCATTATGTGAGACTTACGCTTGACTTGAGAACATGAATACCAACGTGAAGGAATTATGGCTCGAGATTAAAGCCGACTAGTTCCTCGGCCTGGCTTCGGCTTTTTGATAAACTGTCGCCTTGTAGGAAGACAGTGAGGATTTAAAAAAATTATCACTTTTAATTTCGCCTCGTTGGTCGAGTGGTTTCCAGAGTGGCAAGTGGTCTCGATGTTGGGGGGTTCGATTCCCGGGTCGGGCAAAGTATAACTGGGTTTTATAAAATTCTCAATAGTAGCACGGAGTCTGGAATTGTGCCCGGTATATGGAAACAGGCTTGCCTCCTATTACATGGGACTCATTACATTGTAGCCGCACCGCACGACTACATACCTACAGTTACCAGTACCACCGAATACCTTACCATATACCTTCCACAATACCTTTACCAAAAGTTTTAGACTTACTTCGTTTTAGAAACCAGAAACAAATTGTCTTGAAAAAGACAGTTCACGTTTTGACTCCGTTTTTAGAAACAAGAAACCAATTGTCTTGAAAAAGACAGTTTACGACTCTCTCGCATAGAAACGATAATTATCACTGCGGCAACAGCGTTATCACACCGTGCCGCGAGCGATCGCTTCGAAAGAAGCGGTTTGGTTAAGCAAGCAGCCAAGCAGCGCAAGCGGAGCCGGAGCCGGAGCCGGAGCACTTGCATTCGTCGTATCTTCATTGTTCATCTGTAGGTAGTCTTCAGTCTTCACTCGACGCCGGCGCTCGGAGAAATGCGCGCGCTCGCCGTCGAGTCTTCTCTGCGTCCCCGGCAGGGGGCGCGAGGTCGCGCGTTCCAGGCCGATGCCTGTCTCGGCGGATGCGCTCGCTGCCTGCTACAGCAGGCGAGGGGTTGGGTTAGTCGGGCTCCTTGCGGGGCCCGATGCGGTGTCGAGTCCGGTGGTTTGCCCCGCCATGGGCCGCGCTCTAGCCGGGCAAGCCCGGCGAGCCGCAGGCTGTTGGCGGGGCATGGTCGTGTCCAGTGGGGGCGCCGCTAGAGGCCGCGCTCGAGCCGGGGGGAGCCCGGCGAGCGGCGGGTTGGTAGCGGCGCGCGGTCGTGTCCGGTGGGGGCGGAGACTCTACCGACCCGCCAGCGGGCGGGCGGGAGTCTCACGCGGTGTCCGATGGGTCGGTCAGCGCGACCAGGTCTCTTGGGAGGCCGAAGCCGTCGGGGGGGCGCCGGTGGTAGGGCGCCAGCTCCCGGAGGTGGTCGTGCCGCGACCGATCGGAGCGCTCGAAGAGTGTGGTGCTCAGGCGCTGCACGAATGCGTCGACGCTCTCTACGCCGAGGTCTCGGGCGATTGTCGCGTTCCGTACGAAGCGCGGGGCCTGTACGATGGTGCGCAGCGACAGTGACTGCTGCGCACGGAGGCGTTTCTTGTTGGTTTCGGACACGAGCGCGTACCATGCCGGGGCGGCGTAGGTGAGCCGTGTCCGAATGTAGGCCTTGTAGATACCGAGCTTCGCACGGAGAGGCAGCGCCGAGTCGATCACCGGGCGCAAGAGGCAACGCGCGGCGCGCGCCTGAGCAACAGCCTGCTGCACGTGGGGCGTCATTGAGAGCGAGCGGTCGATGGTCACGCCGAGGTATTTAACGCTCGGCGCCCACCGGACCTGCTCTCCCATGAGTGTCATGGGTGTCGGCTTCATGATCCCCACGGCGAGCGCTTGAGTCTTGGCCACGTTCACAGCCAGTCTCCACTTCTCCAGCCATTCAGGGAGTGCATCTAGGGCGCGCTGTAGTTTAACTACTGCGTGCCTCGGGTTCATTGATGTCGTGTAGTAGGCGGCGTCGTCGGCGTACAGCGCTAGTTTGACGCCGCTCGCGACGGGGATGTCGTCCGTGTACACGCAGTAGCACACAGGTGAGATGCAGCTTCCCTGGGGCACGCCGGCACGGATGTTCCGCTCGGTCGACAGAGTGCCTTCCACTGCCACTTGGAAGGTTCTGCCGTGCAGGAAGGTGGCCACGATCTTAACTAGTCGTCGAGGAGTAGTAGATGTGGCCAGCTTGCTGAGCAGGCCGGCGTGCCAGACGCGGTCGAACGCCTTCTCCATGTCGAGGAATACTGCCGCGGCGCGCTCGCGCTTGTTGCGCGCGGCCGCCAGGTCGTGCAGTACCCTCGCCACTTGCAGGGTGGTGGAGTGTTCCGCCCTGAAGCCGAACTGTTCGCCGCGTGGCTGGAGGTGTGGGCGCAGGTGCAACAGCAGC